CTTATTATTCAAAATTATCGTAAACAAGTCAATATTTCGTACATTGTACAACAGTGAATTACAATTCGTAGGAAATTCATTAAAACGTGTATGAATTGAACAGTAGGTAAGTACCAATTACAAAAGTATCCACCATTGTAAAATTGTCGTAAATAAATGTGTTAATACTAAACTATGTAGAATGTGTATACAATGAAGGCGTGCGTAACTACGGGCTTAATAAGTAAATAAATATTCTTTAAATTGTATGTAAATAAATACGTACGCGTACCTAGGTATGGCATAAAATAATATTGTTAGAAATGATTCGATTTTTCTAGGTATTTAAAGATTTTGTTACTTATTATTAACGTATTATCAACATATTCAAATCATGTTTTTACAATGGCATTTCAACTGTAGTCAGCTGTTCTTTCGCCCCGCTTGCGGCCGCCCAGGTTTCATGAATGAATTTGTGAAGTCGTAGTAACGTAACTAGCAATAGAGTTGTGACGCAGTGGTTGTTTCGGACAATCACTATTTATACAAACATAATTAAACTTATATCAACATTAAAAGTCACTTATTTTTAATTGATATTTTGCACACAGGGTCTAAATCAAGTGTACATTTGGGTCCTTTAATATGACCACACCTTTCTGTTACACCCGGTATATTATATCATGATATCAATTTATTCGAAATAAAACTATTTCTTCCGATCTACATTTTGCGTACTTAGATTTGTTTTTCAACCAAATCTATTTTTCGGGTTCTTCTGGTCACGGCTGATAAGTCATGTATAAAAAATGGGATCTGTAAACCACCTAAAATGATGGTTTGTTTGCAAAAAAAAATAGATCCGAAAAATAGTTTCAGTTCCAATAAATAGAAATGATGTTGTTTTGATTCTCTTGATTCGGTTTTTTTTTTATGAAATAAGCAGCAAACAAGCATAGAGCCGCCTGATGGAAAGCGGTCACTATCGCCTATGAACGCCTGCAACACCAGAGGCGTCACGAGCGCGTTGCAAATCCTGTAGGACCCTTCTCAAACTCCTTTTTGAAGGAGATTTATTGGCGACGATAAGCTTGCCAGTCTGTCGGTTTTCTACAGAATATACTTCAGTGAGTGTGCCCATGAGCTGCATCAGCTCATCCCGCCCGCCTTTCACCATCGAACATTCAAACGTGCGGTGGGATATCATCCGTACTTGGTCAATGTTCTCTTCAGGCGTACTAAGCGATTTTCGACATCTTTTGTTATACGCACAAGCCCAGGAATGGAATTCCCTGCCTGCGACTGAGTTTCCGAAGATATGCAATCCGAGAATCTTTAAGGTTCGACTGAATAGACATCTTCTGGGCGAGCTCGTTCCATCGTAGACCCTATCTTTGCTTCAGAATATTAACCTTAGTCCAAAGTCATGGTACCACGATTTCGCTTAACCAAGTTAAACGACTCTTTTATGGGGGACTGTATACGTTTTTACAATAAGATTCCGGAGCATATATTAAGATTATCATTTCCTAAGTTTAAAACCTACATTTAAAATATTTTAATTGTAAAGTCATATTGCAAAATTTAAGACTACGACGTGTTAGATAAAGATGGATGGAAAGACGACATGGCATATAAGTTTATTTGAAAAGAGCAATCCTAGTTTCTTGTTTGTTCTTCTCAGGGAAGTCAGCACAGTGAGCTTAAAAGCGACGTTTTCAAGTGTGTTTATTTATTTGCAAAGTTTACAGCTTTTAAATTTGGTTTACTAACTTTGAGAATTGGACATTGTCTTCTCCAATGGCAGCGCTCTCGGCGTACCGCGAGTCCATCGGCGCGGCCATGCGCTTCCGGATGAGGTCGATGTAGCTCTCCAGGATGTCACGTATGCGGTAAGCCTCGTTGGTCTTCACACAGTACTCTTTGTCGCTGTCGGTCGAACCAGAATTAACATCCTAAGTTTCGGTGTACATGGTGTGGTAAAAAACTCGACTCCGAGATACTACATTTACAAACTCGACTCAATTTCGCACTAAAACACTCACGAGGCTGAGTGGAAAAGAGCGCGACTCATCGGAGCACAGACTCGAGTCTAAAAATATTTAAGTTTGTTGAATGTCACGATTTTTGACCACCATTATTTTTGTGAAAATACTCCACTAGTTTGTTATAAGTATTATTACAAAGATCAAACAATACGAAAAAAGTCCTTCGATCTGGTTTCTTTCGAACCAACGTCTTCCAGCAACCGTGCCAGACGCTATGCCAACTAAGCCAAGGAACGAACTAGGGGACCAAAGAATTTTTTTACGTGGAAGCAGTTGGTTCGAATCCAGCCGGATGGAAGGAATATTTTTCTTAGTGTTCGATGTTTGTATTAATAATTATTACAAAATAATTTAATGTTTGATGTTAAGCTCAACTCACACTAGCGCAAAGTCGAAGCGTCGCATCACAGTGTGGTCGGCGTCTGACGCCTCAATGCGCGCAATAGTCGCATGGCGACTCGCGAAATCGCTCGATTTTAACCAATCGTCGACGCGCGATATTTGCACACAAAACTGTACCTTAATTATGGGAAATAGAGATAAATATGCTATAGGCGAAAAACATGACGCGTCGCGTCGCTTCGACTCAGCGCCAGTGTGAATTGAGCCTTACAGTTGAAAGTGACAATATACAAAGTGGAATCACTGTAACTTGGCTAATTATTATTTAATATCGTCCTTTTACAATTTTAGGTTAATTAGTTAATTATGTTTTTGGTTATAAGAAGAGACCTACACCTTTGATCTACACCTTGTTTCAAGGTGTAGATCAAATTGTAAAGTATATAATATATATTTTAAACCAATTTTAAAAACAGGAGGAAGTCCTTAATTCAACTGTATTTTTTTGTATGTATGTTACGCCATAACTCCGGCCATTTGTGAACCGATTTTCATGATTCATTTTTCGTTGGAAAGAGGGTACCTCAGTATTGATCCCATTTAAATTTGAAGGAAATATTCCTTCTGTAAGCGTGGCAAACTAGGGGACGAATCCAGTTTCGCGAACTTTCCGGTAACCAATTTCAATGAAACTTGGCAAAATGGATGTAATACCACGAATTTTTCAGGTCGGTATTTTTTTCAAATAAGGTTATCTTTTTAATACTCACTTCAAATAACGACGTCTAAATACTCATGTAGAAGTTACTGTGCACAATAACTTACCTATAATCCCCAAAATTGAGCATAAACGTTTCATTTTTCCCGGCGTGATACGACTTAATATGCGTCAATGGCCACACTTGGAGAATCTCTTTGGTGCCTTCATCGAGACGAAGGATCGACTGCGAGTTGATGCCAAGAAGACGAGGGACTAGTTTCTTTTTGTTTTTCTGTTGCTCCTGTTAAAAAAATCATTATTACCTACTGGATTAATCGGTGCGGCTTGGTGATAAGCGATAGCAGTGTCATTCAACTCGGGGTGCACGAAAGGACCCGCGTACCATTTCTTTCCAACCACAAAATATACATTATACTATATGCCATCGATATAATAACAAGAAGAAGAAGTGTCACTCAAGAGCTTTAAATCGCAAAGATCTGAAATGCACTGTCACACTAACAAGTCTCGTGTCCTGAAACTACAGAGTTCCTTAGAAGCACTTGAGCTCCTTGTTAAAGAGTTCATCCAGGGAAGTACCTTACCAATTTCTGCCGCCAAGCACGCAAGGAACGCAGTAATGTGAGCCTTACTTCGTTCCGGTTTTGAAGGGTAAGGGTGCTGGTGAAATTACAGACACATAGGACTTGTTAACTTGCGTTTCAGGGTGACGGGCACAGCGGCAATCTCTGATCTTGGCGATTTAAAGCTCAGACACTGCTATAGACAGAGGTATGTCCTTACCACCAGACGCGTGTCTTGTTCGTCCGTCACTTGCTATCATAAAAAAAAACCTGTTCGGGACTCTACCAAATAACTGCCTCCGTGGCCGAACGGTTACCGGTTAACGGTAAAAGGTCACGCAGACGTCCCAGGTTCGATTCCCGGGCCGGGCGAAATATTTGTGTGGCCTACATTTATTTCTCTCGTAATTTTGGGTTTAATTTATGTTTGTCTATGTGTGTGTCCATGGCACCTGCGATACAGGGTTTCCCTAGTACATTATACATTATAATTATATGTTAAACAAGACTTAATAATGACTAAAGTTAGCTACCTTAAGCGAGAGTCTGGAGTTCGTACTAGGTAACTAGACCTGTGTTACAAATCTCCAGGCTCCCACCCCGTTACAATTTATTTATTTAAAAGGAAAGATATGAAGATGTTTCGTGAGTGAAATTTGTGTGTGTGTTTGTGTTTGTGTGTGTGTGTGTGTGTGTGTGTGTGTGTGTGTGTGTGTGTGTGTGTGTGTGTGTGTGTGTGTGTGTGTGTGTGTGTGTGTGTGTGAGTGAGTGTGTGTGTGTATGTAAGCGTGTGTGCGAGTTCTGCATAATATAATATTATAATATTTAAAATAATTACATTTATGTAGTGACTTTTATTAAATTTTCACTAGTGTCATAGTCCAAGGTTAAAAGCCATTTCATCAATGTAACTTTGCAATCATGCCTGCACAGATTATAAACGTAACGTAAATAGTGGGGGGGCAATGTTGAGTGTGTACGTTATTATTCAAAATAAAATTGAGGAAATATATAATTTATACCTAAAATAATGTGTGTGTGTGTGTGTGTGTGTGTGTGTGTGTGTGTGTGTGTGTGTGTGTGTGTGTGTGTGTGTGTGTGTGTGTGTGAAAAAAAAATTTTTTCATACAGTAAATTTTATTTTCACATACACACATCAAAAAAAGTTTGCGATCAATAGCATAAGCTCCTATAATTCTTTAAATTTAACTTTATCAAGAAAAAATCTATGTTGTATGCTTTCTTTAAATAGGAATACCCTGTTTGAAATTAAAATATAAAACTATTTTTTATTATTTATTTTAAAAAATTGAGCCATTAACCATAATGTAATAGTGATAGAAATTTCATAGAAAGAAAAAGACTGTTTAATTAAACTTAAACAACAATTTATTATTAAAAGTTGTGAATTCAATATAAAATAACTCCTCCCCTGGCTCGAATACATGCGAAGATCCTCCTGGGCATGCTGAGGATCAAGTTATTCAGCATTTCCTGGGGTAATCTATCCCATTCTTCAATAGCGGCTTCCCTGAGCTCTGGAACTGTCTGGGGACGTGGCTCACGGTTCCATACTGCTCGTTTAAGAGCATCCCACGCGTGCTCTATTGGGTTTAAGTCGGGCGTGCCGGCAGGCTAGTCTAATCGTGTGATATCGTATTCTTGAAGAGCAGCATTGACTCGTTGAGCTCGATGTGCGGGCGCATTATCATCGACCAGTACAAATTGGTGCCCATGGTTTACTCGGAATGGTCTGACGATATCATCAATAGCAACTGCTTTGTACATGTCTGCTGTCATGAAGCCCCGATACGGGATCAAAGGCGTTCTAGCTCCAATCATAATGCCACCCCAAAAGGACACCGATTTTCCGCCTTGCTGAACTGTTCCAGTGGCAGTTCTTTGTCTTTCACGGTCGCCTGGTCTTCTCCAGACACGGACACGTCGGTTATCTGGATGAGTGCTGATTCGGGATTCGTCAACGAAGAGACAGTTTTGCCAAATGTTTTCGTCCTCACCTTCTTCATTTTGCCGAAGTCTAGCCCACTGCAATCTTCGTTGTTGACGTTGCCGGGAATTGAGCGGAGCTCGCCAAGACCGCCGTGCTCGTAATCCAGCCTGGTGCAAGCAATTGCGAACGGTCTGCGTGCTAACTTCAAGCCCAGAGGCGGCCCTGACTTCTGCTTTTATTTTAGTGGCGTTGATTGTTGGATCACGGGCTGCCAGCAATCTAATATAGCGCTTTTGGGCAGCTGTCAAAACAGTTGGGCGACCGCTGCGGGGTCGGTCAGCTAAATTCCCCATTCCGTGATACCTCTGCAACGTAGCCACGACACAGGATTGGGATATAGCAAGTCTGCGTGCTATTACTCTCGAGGTGTATCCTTCTTCCCTCAAAGTTACTATTCTAGCTCGTAAAACCTCTGATAATCCTCTTGGCATTTTTTCAATCACAACTTTCCGCGAAAAATATCTTGAATCGCTTATAATTGACTAAATCAGATTTCTGAATGAGCGTAAGCTAGGACTGAAAGCCTTTTTATATGAAAAAACAATTGAACGGGGTCATTGTTTTATGTTCTAATTTATTTTTAAATAAAAAATCTAAAAAGAAGAAAAAATCATAATTAATCTACAGTAACAAAAAAGATTTCAGTTTTTCGAAGTGATCGCAAACTTTTTTTGATGTGTGTATGAATTCTATATTCAAGTTATACTATTCGTGTTTTAAAGTTAAAATTTAAATAGCCAGTCAAAGTTTTTGTTCAGAAATTGTATACCATAGAATACCTTAGAAAATGACACCATCTAGTTTTATTTATGAAATATTTTTTACTGACCTTTACAAGGAAGAAGGTGACACCATAGGTAGGCAAATCCCTAGCGGTCTTGATGTAGAGGTACTTGGCATCCAGTGGGCTCAGGCCGTGGTGATTCTTGAACAGCTTAAGGATCTTCTTCTCTGCGTTCCACACTCCAGAATACTGGACCGGCAGGTATTCATTGAGACTGTTTGGGATAAAAAATATGATAGAAAACATGATAAAAAACACACTCCCAATAGCCCATTTCAAAAAAATTACTGTCGTAACCAACCTTTTAACAAGTGACATTAATATTTAAAAAGGCAATGAATAGCATAAAACCGATAGAAAAAGCTTTCTGTCCATGTACCTAATAAAAACGAAACAATCGTCGTATCGGTCGATCCTAGCGGAAGTAAAAGCTCTCAACACCTTTTTTCACTCTATATATACAGGGTGTAACAGAAAGGTGTGGTCATATTTGAAGGTCGGATTCAGTTAATGGTATGAAACTAGTTAGCAAAGTTGTTTTAGTACACACTACGTTATTTATGGAAATTTCGCCATGAACAGTTGCGATCAGCTGATGTCATTTAACGAAAATAAATAGTCACATCACATCTCTATTGAGTATCATAATACAACCAAATTACGTAACTTGAAAAAATTGTGAAATTCAGGCATGTTATTGTAAATGATAAAGTACTTAATGCCATATTCTTATTACTATGTTATAATTTACTAAATTTATTATTATTTTATTAATGTAATATGCGTGTGAACATTTAATGAAAAATAAATATTATCGATTACTTTGCCAAAATACACTACTTCATAATAAAACTATTATTTAAAACTTAGTACATAATAACGTAATATGGTTTCGTTAACTTCATATCTTCAAACATACAAAATACACAAATTTCCATTTAATATCCATTAATAAAAGTAATGTCCTCTAAAAACAAAAGTTATCTCTTTTCTTTTTACCATATCATATGTAATAATACGCATTCATCTATTGTATTTTAATGAATGAAATTTGTCTCTGTCTATCCGCCGGTACTGTTCTAACGCATGGCAGCTAGCGAATCAGTCGGTATGTTTCTTCTAACGCATGACGCAATATGACGCAATCATCCGACTAATACTTCGCACCCTTACAATGAAAGTGACCCAAATCAAAAAATTTAAAAATGAGTTTATACCGTAAAACCATCTTAAAAAAATATTTTGTTACATTAGTCACACTGTGGTGAAGATGAAATTGTGCAATTAAAGCTCGAATAGCAGTGATTCATAAAGGTCCCTTTCATTTTGTTCTTTCAGTTTAAAAATTCGAGATATTAACGCCGCATTTATTGTTGAATCTGCATTTGCAAAGACAACACGCTGCCACTGACGGATTAGCATTTGAGCCATTTTCGTTCCGAAAATCATATTCAAAAATCACTAGTAGCAGTAGAGCTCCTTGTGAGTTCGTCCAGGGTAGTACTGCCACTTTACCGTGTTACAGTTTTGAAGGGTAAGGGTGCTGGTGAAATTACAGGCACATGGGACTTGTCAACTATGTCTCAGAGAGATGGACGCCGTAACAGTAACCTTCGAGCGGCAGTGCTACTGTTATGGACATGCGTGATGCTTTCCACCGGGTACACGACTTGTTAGACCCGTCGCTTAATATTTAAAAAAAAAAATTTTTTTTATTAACTTACTTTTTAAAGGGACTGACTTTTTTGTTTCGTGGACTTTCTTCTTTTTTAATTGTGAAATAGAGATCACAAAACAATATCAAGGGTTATGACATCTTGCTTAGCTGATGAACATTAAAAACACTTAATTCTTAATACGTTAAATGATAACAAAAAATCGTTAAAAAAAGACCTATTGGCGACTAGTTCTTGTAAATGATTATCACTAGTAACAGGTTTCTTACCACGGTATAACTTCTTTTTATTTTCCCGATATTTCGGAACGGTTGCACGCTCCATGGTCACGGGTTGACTGGACGGCGGCAGATGACAGCTTTATGGGCAGACATATCTGTCTACCCTCTTGCGCTGTCGACGACTACCTTCATCGCGATTTGTTGTGGCGTTACCATTGTCACTCACTTTTTTCACACAAACCACACTTACTGTATCCACACGCGAAACTGAACTCGAGGTGTTTTTGTTTTTATTACTGCACGCACTAAGGACCGGATTCCATGCACTGGACAGTTTAAAACCATCATCACGGTTAAATGTTTTGTACTTCGTGATCTCGATGGCTTCTCGTACCAACCGTGGTATGTAGTGACGTTCTGTCGAGAGTACCTGGGGGCTATACAACTCGATCCAGTGGTTAGTATCAGTCTGTGTGAGATGTTGTGCTATAGCCGACTTCTGTGCATCATTGTTTTTTACTGCTCGGATGTGTTCCTTCATACGATCGACAATTGTTCGTTTAGTCTGACCGATATACGAGCTCCCACAACTGCAGTTCACTTTATAGACACCCGGTGTTTGTAAAGGAAGGTGGTCTTTTGGTGAACGTAACATTTTTCCTATTTTGGTTAAGGGGGTGAAAACAGTTTTTATGGAAAACTTCCTTAGCGACCTGGCTATTTTACCGTGGTAAGAAACCTGTTACTAGTGATAATCATTTAGTGAATAACCACGAAAGTCTTAAAATCTATATAGTTTTTGTAAATTATGTTTTTAAATTGTTGAACATTAAAATGATCAGAAACAATTTTCAGTTGTAAAGTTCCATTTTTCCTCATTATTTTCAAAGACTAATAAGGCCATCACCTTTAGTACTTCAAGAGTAATAAATAAAATAATATGAAAATGTCACAACATGAATCTTATTTTGCGTATTCCCAAAAAGTTGAAATTTTGTATTGGGACACTTTCATCGTAAAGGTGCAACCTGAAGGTCGGCAAACGTCAAGAAATTAGTTTTGATCGTTGACCACGAATTAATTATTATAATTTTCATCACTTGCTTGGAAATGAAAGTATCGTGAGAAAACTTGGATTTCGGAGATAATTGCCGAAATCTTCAAAGATGCGAAAATGTCAAGTCTCCAATTAGTACTTACTATGCAAGTGTAGTGGACTAAACCTTGTGCAAAAAATAGTACTTTACTAACTTACATACGTCTATTGCTGAGCACACGTTTCTAACAACAGGTTTACGCTTAATTTGACTTATCTACACACGACAACTTTCTGTGTATGGGTTTATTACATGGTGAAATTAAAAATAATTAACATCGTTGAACCTATTAAGGTTCTTACTTCCTAATAATATGTACTCATCTAAAGAAATATTTTAGAATAGTTTAAATTAGCAATAGTGTAAAACCATAAAAAATCTTACCTAAATAAACAAAGTATCAAGATTAGTCGCCTTGCGTACGCAATAACGTAATCGTAGCGAAGTTGCAAGCCTTTGGCGGCAACTTTAGCGGCAAAAATATCACCTTTGATTTTCGCCGCCAGCATTTGATTTTATACATCGTGATGTGGAGTAGTGGTTAATGTTAGACTCGTTTCGGAGGTCGTGGATTCGATTCTCATAGTTGACTGGCTCTATGGTGTAGTTGTTAGAGCGTTAGGTTTTCTTTTTGGATGTCGTAGATTTGATTCCCATAGTCGACTGCCTCCATAGTCTAGTGGTTAGAGCGTTAGGCTTTCTTTTCGGAAGTCGTGGATTTGATTCCCATAGTCGACTGCCTCTATGATGTAGTGGTTAGAGTGTTAGGCTTTCGTTTCGGCGGTCGTGGATTTGATTCCCATAGTCGACTGCCTCCATGGTATAGTGGTTAGTGTTAGGCTTTGTTTTCGGAGGTCGTGGATTTGATTCCTATAGTCGATTGCCTCCATGGTGTAGTGGTTAGAGTGTTAGGCTTTCGTTTCGGAAGTCGTGGATTTGATTGCTATAGTCGACTGCCTCCATGGTGTAGTGGTAAGTGTGTTAGGCTTTCGTTTCGGACGTCGTGGGTTTCCGATGGGTGACTGCCTCCTTAGTGCAGTATATCCGTAATCACCCAGTCAGTTCTTGCGTTGTGTGGAAGTGGTACGGGTGATGGTCAGCGTTATGTTTACAAACAAAGGCGTATGCAGTGCAACGTTGAAGGTCGTAGATACGTAGGATATAGGTATTCGTTTAATGTGTATGTAATGATGTAATTTGTATCATGAGAAGGGTCTTATTTTAAAAGGATGGTAATAATTTTAATTTCATCCTGTATGTACATTATGAAAACGTTACCCTATATTCCAAAATTTGCGTTTCAGTCGGCGTCCTTTGATGTGCCGCCGCTGAGGCAGAGGCACTATTTTTTTATTTTTTGTAACAGTCTGTAATTGCCGTTTGCGTTGTGAGGACTAAATAGGTGTCATCGTTTTGTTTGTGTCTCGTTTTTGTGTTTATTTAAACTATGTCACGCTTAAGCAATAGTGATTACTATGAGATGATGTTGTGCGTAGGCGCAGCCGATGGGAGCTTGCGCCAGCCTCGCCAAATTTATTGGGCAAAGTTTATTGATGGCGTCCCAGAAAATCGACGTCGACCATTTCCTACTCTGGAATGCTTCAGGAAGATGGTTATGAGACTTCATAATAGTGGATCGTTCCGTGGTTCCAGTTCTGAAGGCCGGCCGAGTTCACGAGACCCAGAATTCGAGGCAGATGTTTTGGAACATTTTCTCGGCAATCCAAAGACAAGTACTCGTCGTGCTGCAGCAGCCTTTGGTGGTGTGAACCATATGAGTGTGTGGCGTGTGCTACGGGATGATGGCCAGCACCCATACCATTTTCAAAGAACGCAGGAGCTGTTACAAGCGGACTATGATCCACGTTCCGTTACGTTTACGACCGCGACAAGATTGGGAGGTCTCCCGACTTCGCTTCGTCGGTACTGTGGACAGACGAGGCGTCATTTACGCGTGCGGGCATTATCAATATGCATAATGAACATTTTTGGACTCATTTGAATCCCCGCGTATCAAGGGAATCAAATTTTTAACACCAGTGGCGGATTAACGTGTGGGCTGGTATAATAGGTTGTGCCGTCATCGGTCCAGTGTTTTTGCCGGCAAGTCTGAATGGGGCCAATTATTTAAGATTCCTAACAGAAGACATGGATGACGTTCTGATGGCCCTGCCAGTGACACAATACGTGAGACTCGTGATGGAACACAGGATGACTTTCCAGCACGATGGACCACCCGCACATTTTGCTCGAAATGTACGTTCCCATCTGAACGACCGTTTCCCGCAGTGGATTGGGCGGGGAGGTCCTGTACCCTGGCCAGCGAAGTCCCCAGACTTGACAACGCTCGATTTTTTTTATGGGATCATATAAAAAATATTGTTTATGCGGAGTCCTGTGAAAGCGCAGAAGAAATGAGGCAGCGGATCGAAATGGCATTTAGTCAAATCACTCGGCAGATGCTTCAAAGAGTAGAGCAGTCTCTGTACCGACACACGGACATATGCATATTGCATGGAGGTCGGCATTTTGAACCTTACCTGTAAATGTGTGAAATGTGCCAGCAGTGCGTGCAGTGATTGTGCTTATTATTCAAAATTATCGTAAACAAGTCAATATTTCGTACATTGTACAACAGTGAATTACAATTCGTAGGAAATTCATTAAAACGTGTATGAATTGAACAGTAGGTAAGTACCAATTACAAAAGTATCCACCATTGTAAAATTGTCGTAAATAAATGTGTTAATACTAAACTATGTAGAATGTGTATACAATGAAGGCGTGCGTAACTACGGGCTTAATAAGTAAATAAATATTCTTTAAATTGTATGTAAATAAATACGTACGCGTACCTAGGTATGGCATAAAATAATATTGTTAGAAATGATTCGATTTTTCTAGGTATTTAAAGATTTTGTTACTTAATATTAACGTATTATCAACATATTCAAATCATGTTTTTACAATGGCATTTCAATTGTAGTCAGCTGTTCGCCCCGCTTGCGGCCGCCCAGGTTTCATGAATGAATTTGTGAAGTCGTAGTAACGTAACTAGCAATAGAGTTGTGACGCAGTGGTTGTTTCGGACAATCACTATTTATACAATCATAATTAAACTTATATCAACATTAAAAGTCACTTATTTTTATTTGATATTTTGCACACAGGGTCTAAATCAAGTGTACATTTGGGTCCTTTAATATGACCACACCTTTCTGTTACACCCGTATAAAAACTTTTACTGACCGACTTAAGCCAATTCCGCATTAATAAATGTGGTGATGCCCTAAAGCAGAACAAAGTTATGACAGAAGTTTATTATAATTAAATTGCAAAGGAGTTTTTTTTACTTTTTATAGAAGCTTCCTAAAATAGTGAAAAAGTATGTTTAGGTAGAAATTAGTAATTTTAGTAATTATTAGTAAATATACAAAAAAAGTAAATTATATACTGCTAAAACTATGAACAACGTAAAGTGGCCCAGCCAATCTGACGTCAGAATGGCTGGCCACTTTATTTCTTTAATTATTCTTGCTTATTCGCTAGACTGATTCCTTTGAAAAGAATGAGCAAGAAACTCTAGGGATTGCTCTTCGTAAATAAACATTTGTACACACTAAATAACACAAATAAATAATAAAATTTCAATTTCAAACTTATCACCTTAGTTATTGGACTTACTTTTCAATGAGACCCGGCTTATGCTTTTCCTCGTGAAAGTCGCCAAAGTGGATTTGGCATTGTATGGCGGCAAACTCCATAGCTGAAAAGAATTTACGCACGTAAATTACTTTAAACCAAACTAATAATTAAACAAATAAAAATAAATATTATAGTCGTAATCACATAAATCATAAAAATTATCAAAATTATAAAACACGTTAATGTAACAAATATACAAATTGAATTTATAACCGTTTTTACAGGTACAAGGTCAAGAGCACGACAAGCTGGAAACTTGAAATGCAACTCTACGCCGCATACGATAAGAACGGTTTAAAAATAAATCGAATATTGAAAAATGCTTCTGTAAATATTGGTGTTAAAAAATTTGATGAGATGGTGTTTTATAAAGAAAAAAGTAAAAGCGCGGGAATACTATTCCAAATCCAAACATAAAGTCGAAACAACGAAAAAGAGCGCGCAATCGATCGGCGACCGTGTGACGATCCGACCGCGCCGTTGCCGCTCCGTGCACGCACCGCTTCACGACGCCATTCCGACGCGACCGCGCCACCCGCCACGACATGTTATTCAACGAAAAACTAGATGTGAAACTTATTCGCCAAGTGCGTGATAATCCAATTTTATATGACCATAATCATGCTAAATACATGGACTTTAACGCTCGAGAAGTCGCCTGGCAAAAGATCGGAGACGAGCTCAAAAGGCCCGGTAAGTCGCTTTTATATTTTACGATTGATAGTTGCTGGAGGTTACTATTGTTACGCGTTTCGATTAACGAATCGTAAGTTTCTCGCGATTAAATTAAAAGTGTTTTTATATTTAGAGTGAGTTGTAACATAAATGTAAATTATTTTATACTATGACATATTTATCTATCATTAACAATGGTGAGGGATAAAAATAAATTAACATTTTAATTTGTCCCCAGCGGCCGACTGCAAAGTAAGGTGGATAAATATAAGAGACGTAAACCGACGCATTCTCAGAAAATGCCTAAATAATCCCGGCCAACGCGTGCGCACATATAAATATGACAGCGAACTATCTTTCATGAGGCCGTTCTACAGAGACGTGCCGATAAAAAACAATGATTATGAATTTGACGATGACCCTGATAAAGATGAAAGCATTCCAATGAATGATGATGATTATAATCACCACGACGACATGGAAGACCAAGAACTAGCGGTAGAATTCTCAGATTCCGAGAAAATTGAAAAAAAAATTCGTAAGACTAGAGCGAAAAGAACCAAATCTGTAAAGAGAAAAAAGAAGCGCTCTTACGCCGAGGAAGAGGAAGATGAAGTAAAACCTGAAACTACAGTGTTTACGGAGTCAGTAACAGTACCCCAAGAGTTAGATCCAACAGATCCTGTTGATGCGTTTTTGTTAAGCATAGGCGCGACTTTGAAGACCTTTAATCCATACCATTTAAATTTAGCAAAAAGCAAAATATTTGCAGTCGTGCAGGAACACGATTTGCAACAAATCGTTCAAAGAAGAGATAGTCACATTGAACAAAAAATTTGTTCATCGGATACAATGGTTTTTGTAAATAATACAATGTAATCAACGTTCTAAATCATGATAGTGTCCTGTGATAGGAATACTCACATGTACTGGAAACATTTGTATTTAAACTAGACGTACCTAAATGAAATAATTTTGTTCCTCGACAACATAACGTGTACCTTTAAATTAATACTTTGTATTGTTGATTAAATGCTGATTTAGCTCATGAGTAATTTATTTTCAATAAGATAAGTATAAATCCATACAAAACTACTATGACATTGCTTGGCGAAATAAAAAGTGCTTTTAATAAAAAGTTTTTACCAATAAAAATTGTTAGTTCGAGATAGAAATGAGTTCACTGTAGTAACGCTACAATCGAATCGATATCTTGATTATGCGCAAATTTATAAAGAACTCCGACTTGCATACATGAAGTAAGGACTGCAGAGTTCAAGTTTAGTTGGATATGACGTGTGTAACTAACTAGCATAAACTGAACCGCCAATTTGATGTCGTACATATTAGACTAAAGCTCCTAAGACACTGGTCGATTTACGAAACACACTGCCCTCGGTCTGGTCGTTTGCGTTACGTGTCCGTAACATAAACAGACTGTTTTTATAACGTCATAAAGTAAGAACTTGAACAACAATTTTTGAACTTGAGCAATTATTTGTTACCCATTACATACTAGACAAATTACACCAATTATTCATCAAGCTCAAAGTAGAGAAATCCCTGTAACATAATTGATTGATTGAGGTAGTCAAAGGCAGGGCATAGATTATTAATTTGTGTTTTTTTTTTAAGGAAAATCCACATCGACTAAATAGCATGTGAGTCTTCTTAATATTCTCCTACTTTTGAATGAGTCAAACGCAACGTAATCTGTTTATATCGCAAGTTTCGAAGCAAAGCATTAGTCATACTGCATTTACACATTTGCACGAGCACCTGAGGCGATCACGGACGCAAATTTGTCCACCTTGTGTATGCGTTCGACATTACCCACGCTCTCGCTCTTTTGTTCGCCCCGGAGCGATTTGTCGGACGAGAATAAAAAAACTATGAACGAGCTGACGTGGCGAACTCAGTGTTTACACTTAAAAATATTCGTGGAGCTTCTGACAACACAAGTATTCGTGTAGTTCACTTTACGTAATTTGAAGCGTTGTCAGTCGCAGTCGTGTGGACCCTTTTTTGTAAAAACCAACATTTTAAAATTAAATATTATGATCTAGCCATTTAAACGTTGACAAGAACAAGCAAACTACATGTGGCTGCTATTGACTATATGCAAAAATAACCCTTAAGGTGATAACGCGTCAACTTCGCTGATAGTACGTCGCGACGGTGGAGGATATATTTGTCTAGCGGCATCGACACCGCGCGTCTGTTTGATGAGAACGAGTCCGCGGCATACAGAATATCGCTTTAGAGCGAAAACCTCGCAGACGCGTTTTCACATAGTTCGTTTTTACTGAATTTTAAATATTTTCATTTAATAGTATCTGAAAAAGGTTACATAAAATTTAACTAATTAAAATGTTAACTACAAACATTATTCCGTTTACTACATTTTACACTACATTTTTATCTTCGTCCTGAAAAATTACATAGAACTCACATACGAAGTTTTACTCTAAGACGACGATATGTAATGTAAACACAAGTGCCGAAAAACCACTTCCACTGTTATTGCTAATCACGCGATTTTCTTAGTGCGAAATTACCCGTCATCTATAGTTGCAGGTGAATGTAGCTATGAATAAACGCAAATACGTGAACGAATGCTCTAAACGTTGGCGAACGCGATTGTGTAAACGCGGTATGATGATACCACGTGACGTGAGTCCGACGTTGCCGTCCCGTGCAGAGCCAACCCGCGACGACCACGGGGCGTTCTCGGAATCCGCATTCGACACGAGACGGGCACGAGACAGATACGACATATTGATTACTTTACAAATCATTTGTAAAATCTAATAGTTGTGTTTACAAAAAGTTGTATAAGTGTAAACTTTTAAAAATTGTGGCGTATTTCAACATTACTACAAGACGGCATAATCATGAATAAAACATAACCTATTTTCAAGTGGAATTAACCAACGGAATTCGAAGTGTAGTTCTGCAATGCAGTTTCAAAGTACAGTGTAGTGATTCAATTAAGTCGCATTATTAATTTAAGAGGACTTAATTAAAATTATCTTTGGATTAACCGGACAAATTAAATGGTCTATATAATGTTTCAAACTTTCTGTTGTATAGTGTAAATTATATTGAAATAACATGCCTTTGCCATTCAACAAATCGCTTGATATCAAATTAATACACCTCGTAAAAGACAATCAAATACTGTACAATCCTAGGCATCCGAAATATCTAGATTTTGATACTAGAGAGGTGATATGGCAGAAGATTGGAGATCAGTTAAGCAGACCTGGTAAGTTGGAAACTTTTACAATGACAGCTTTCTCAAACCATACGATAGTTAATTCTAATTTAGTGCTATATTTTAACACTCTTTAGCTTGGAACAAAAATGGCAATTGTGCACAACATTGAAATGAAATAGATTTAGTTAAATATCTATTTAAATTGAAAAAACAAGATAACTTCGAGGTAACCATAAATTAAAAATATTACTTTTTTATAAAAAAAAAAAACCGATCAAAAGTTTGTCGAATTACATCTATTTGCCAAGTTCTATTGAAATCGGTTACCGGAAAGAGCGCGAAACCGGATTCATCTCCTAGTTTGCGCTAGAGGTGGAACACCCTCTTTCCAACAAAAAAAGAATCATCAAAATCTGTTTACAAATCGTGTAACATGAACACAAAAAAATTACAATCGAATAGAGAACCTCCTCCCTTTTTGAAGTCGGTTAAAAATCTAAAAAAAATAAGCAAAATTAATGCATCTTGAACCTAGTTGTGACACCTCATTGACGTTATAGAAGTGTTATTTTTAACATTTAACACCTAACTATAATTCTGAAAAGAGGGGGTTTGCGTCATTATTAGATATAACTGGTTGGTGACTAACACACGGACAGCCATGACCATGAGACATGTAAAGAGCATAAAACGTTGATTTGAACTCGAAATTGATAACAGAATAAATTTTTCAATTAGCATAACTAACGTGACCAATATTTTTTTCCCTCAAACCGGGACGCCTGTAAATTTATTATTGTTTTAAAAATAAAATACAATTTATGATTGTTACGAAATGTTTAGGTAATGATTATATAAAAAAAAGACCAAAAATGTAAATACATACATATCAAAAATAGAATACGTATCGAGATCTATTAGGTTTTCGCGATTGTTACACATAGGAAATAAAACTGTTTTTCCGGATATAAATCAGTCAACCGTGACCATGGGACCTGTAAAGGGCCCGAAACGTCGGTTTGTTTGAAAAAACAAATATACGCGATTTAAATCCGGAAAAATAGTTTCATTTCCTAATGGAATTCATGTTGTGTAGTGTAAAGGGTCGCAGACGAAGGAAAACAACTGTTAGCGACTAGTTATTGGTTTATTAACTCCAAGTGAACTGAATTACTTTGAATGCTGTTTGTATGGTTTATATACAAATAATTGATATTTAAAGCAATCAAATAACAGTTAAGATTGTGCATTTCTGTGGTAATCTAGAAAATGTACATCGTTAGTAATAACAAGTTTGATTCAAGGATTAAAATGTCGAAATGTGGTTAAGGTCACATTACAGTAGTCTGGTGGACTTATGTATTTTTCGCTTACGGCCATTTAAAAAAAATTAATGTCACGTTTGTCCTATTTTGTCAAAGCGGGACATTAAGTATTTTGGGAGCAGCGGGACAAGAATATGAACTCATGACTTTAAAAAAAAAAACACTTTTATTGAGCGCATTTAATAGCACGATAGAAAAGATTTCAGAATAATTTGCTACGTAACATCTCAAAAACAGTTAAATCTTAAATTTTTTATGTTAATAATTAGTGCTGTAACCAAAATTGATCACTGAATTTTATCGACTCAATTCGATTTCACGTAAAAATACTAACTTTCCTAAATATATTTCCTAATAATTGATAAAAAAACAAAAAATGCTCAGTAAGTACCAAGAGTGTCAAGCCCGGTTTTATTTCCTTTTCTTTTTTGAAAATTTTGAATTGGCCATACCAGCCAGATCTTTCGCCATCTTTAAAGTTAACTTTGTGGTCGTTTGTTTTTGGTGTTTTTTCTTGTGACTAGACTTTGCTTACAACTGTTTCTCTTTTCTATCACGTTGACCTTATTATTTTATTAAACTTTACAAAAATATAAAGCTTCCTATAAAAATACAGGAAAACAATGTATTGAGCGGGAAATCGTTATTTCAATATTGTGCGTTAATTTCCTTAAATAAATAAAACAATACAGTTAAAATATAAATAGACCTCTAATTATAGGCAACGCAAAGTTGAATATAATGTTTACATATTTCAGAAGTCGTCTTATATGTACCAAGGATGTCATATACCTAAAGATATACAATTAGTCCGTTATTCGTTGTATCAAGTTTAATCTCTCTAAGGAGTGCCTTACGACATAGATGACCTAAACCCCCTCCTCTGAGGTAACCCGTGCCCAGTAGTGGAGTCTAATTGTTCAGACACTTGCGAACGTAGGCACATCAACTAACAAACATTTTTTTTTATTATCTTATCATATATCAAGTGGAGGTACACCTACATTTTGATCCTTCGAGCCGGATTGTATTACTATTGTACTTTTTTATTTGTACTTCCCAGTAGATGTATTTACTGGGAAGATACCAAACAGTTGATGTTTGCATGGTTCCCTATTTTATTCATATAATAAAACTTAATTGTTTCAGCGCTAGTTTGCAAATCTCGGTGGGTGAACATACGTGATATGATGCGCAGAAAAATTCGCGACCGACTTCGAAGTCCCGCCCAGAGGCGTTACAACTACAAATACGAAGAAGAACTTGCTTTTATGATACCATTTTTCAAAGATACAACCACGCATGAGGAGTACAGTGAGTTCATAGATGAAGAATCGCTAATGCCTTCCGAAGTTTTCGTCAATGAATGCGAGTTCGAAAGAGAGATAAAGCCGAACGTTGTTGGTAGTAAGACAACGAATGATTGTACCATTTCAATCTTAAGTGGCGAAACTTTGAGTACAGAGTTGAATCCTCATGATCCTTTGGACGTATTTCTGTTGACTATCGGTAAGTTTTCACATTCAACATAATAATACATTTAGTAGTAATATGAGCATCCAGTTTTGAAGAATAGGCACGCGGGACTTGTTAACTTATGCCTCAGGGTGACGGGCGCATTGGTAGTGCCCATCAGATCTTTGCAATTTAAAGCTATGGGGTTGCTTATCACCATGCACACGACTTGTTCGTCTCCTTACTTGGTATTATAAAAAAAAATCAAGTTCATAGACCAACAAAAGTCTAAAAAACTTCGGCTACAGCGAGATTCTAGGTCCAATGTTTTTGGAGCTCAAAAAATTTTACCATAACCGAAAGTGTTCTTGGTTTTTATAGCCGAGAACAAAACGGTTTAAATACTCTTCATCGTCAACCCATTTTTCGGCTACAGTTTCCTTTAAAGACAGGTGGCGAAATGCGAGTTGGGAACTTCACACAGGTTCTTCACAAAGGTTGTACAACTTCTTCATCATGAAGGTTTTATTTTATAACACCGAATGAGGGGACGACCGAGTCGTGCCCCCGGTTGTGAGCGATACGCCCGTCCATAACAGTGCCACTCATAGCTATAAATCGCAGAAATAGGTAAGGTACTTCCCTGGATGAACTCTACTGTTTTCACAAGGAGCTCTATTATTTTCCCCTATCTGCTCTTTTACTTATAAGAATACCTGCAGAGTCTTTTATTTCCAGGATCAACTCTGCGAAAGCTAAACCCGTATTTCCTGAACCAGGCCAAGTCTAAGATATTTCAGGTGGTGCAGGACTACGAGCTTCAACAAATCGTGAGCAAGGACGACCAGCCTGTGAATAGCAGCATCGGATAGTATTTAGCTATGATACCTGATTAAAGATCACGTAGAGTGGATAATACCTCCCTCGACCAGAATTATTGTATTGTAATTTTATCTGACTTAAAAAAAGGGGTTATTGATGCAACTGTTTTTCTTTTTGTTTGTGTATTTTTTGCGATTATTCCGACATTGTAAACCTATTTCGATGATTCTTTTTTGTTAGAAAAGAGGTGCCTCAATAGTGGTCCCATGCAAATTCGAAGAAAATATTCCATTTTAATTGAATGATTTCAAACACTGGAAATACGACCCTAATGGCAAGGACTTGAGTATGATTTCTAATGCTTGAAATCATACTCAAGTACTGACTTAGCATTGAGTAGAGTTCTGGAATCCGACCCTAAGCGTGGAAAAAGCCTAAAATCCTGGCAAAAATAATGCAACAATTTGCACATTTCACAAAACTTTTGAGATTGTTTTTTTTTTTTCAAATAACTTAGTTACGTTTAGTATATTTACAAAGAAGGATTTTTCCTTTTTATTTTTGACCGTTATTGAATTCCAGTGGGAGGTATTGTTCTCTCTATGTGTATTTTTTTAAGGTTAGGTAAAGATACTCTACCTATTCCGTTATGTAGTCATTACATATCATACAGGGTGATTTTATTGATATTTTGAATAGAGTGAAAACTATATTAATTAGTTGTAAATATTATATAAAGAAATAAGAAGCGGTTACGTCAAAGAGAGACAAAAGTACAACTTTAGTTCAAGACGTAAGAGGTAGAAAGAAATAAGAAAGCTAAAATAGAGCTACGCAAGAAGTATTTCATGATGCAGCAAGAGAGTCACCACAAGTGACAGCTGAAGTTAGTTAATTAATTAGTTAGATAATTAATTAGTTAGTTAATTACTTAAACCTTTATACTACAAATCGCATATGTTTATTGTTTTCAAATAATGTAACGTTCCACTCCGTTGTCGTTACGCCCTTGTAAAGGGCCCTACTCTCGTTTTCCCACTAAAGCTGACCTACAGACTAGAGTTTCGATCGGGGCTAGAGCTAAAAATGTTATGACAACTCGATTTGACCGTTTCGAACGTGCCTGTTTTTTCATCGACGAACTTCGAGAATAGACGCGTAGGTCATCCGCAGTGAAGGAACGGCTGTAACTAGGCATTTCGTGCTTTGAAAGGATGGTGCTGGTAAAATGATCATAGCTGACTGAAAAAAAAAATATACGCGATCCGAAAAAATAGTTTAATTTTTATGTTCATTGAATGTTACACTGTTTAACCACGATAATTTTTGTGAAATTACTGTGCTAGTTTGTAATAATTATTAATACAAACATCGGACACTAAGAAAAAAGCGCCTGACACGGTTTGCTGGAAGACGTTGCTTCGAATCCAGCCGGATCGAAAGATTTTTTCGAGTTCGATGTTTGATTAATAATTATTGCAAAATAGTTCATCATATTTGATGTTAATAATTTGGCTAATTATTATATAATATCGTCCTTTTACAATTTTATGCTAAGCGCACGTAAAATTGGCGCGACTTTAGCGTAACAGTATGTGGCGCTACCATTGACTTACAAATAAATGGACGACGGGTCTAATACAAAAACCACGAAAAAAATGTCCCAAGTCAACCTATTTAAACGTAGTGACATGTAAAGGAATATGAAAAAGCTAAAACGTTAGATTTAAATTATAATGTCATCGCAGTACTGTCTAATTTTGCTTGCTTCGCTGTCAGTCGAACAAACGAAGACTACAGCGTGAATGACGCTCTGTATACGATTTTAACGCCCTATAAGTTCGGACACTTTTTAGCGCGGACCCGACGTCCATATAATTGTAAGTCAATGGGCGCTACAGTAATTTTTAGTTCACTTATTGTGACTGCAAGTGGCGATATTTCTGTGCTTCTGCAAGCGTATAATTTGAACGCGCCTTAAGGCAAGTCCCCGGAGGAGAAGCGGGATAAACCGTTTTGTTAGATCAAGCTGTTTAGGTATTTACTACCTATTTAATAACGGTGTTATAGAAAATATATACGATACACCTAAGGATATTGTCCGAATAATGTGCTAATTCGATGACTCTTAAGCAGCAGTAGAGCTCATTGTGAAAGAGTTCGTAAAGGGAAATACTAGCGCCTTACCTATTTCTGCCGCCAAGCAGTAATGTTAGCATTACTGGGTTCCGGTTTTGAAGGGTAAGGGTGCTGGCGAAACTACAGGTACAAGGGACTTGTCATGTCTCAGGGTGACAGGCGCAATTGGAGTGCTCCTCAGATCTTTGCGATTTAAAGCTCTGAGTGGCACTGGAATGTTATGGAAAAGCTTACCATCAGGCGCGCGACTCGTTTGTCCCGTCAATTGATCATAAAAAAAATCGTTACACAATAGGATGTACTTCACTCGATCATAATATAAAATCCTGTTATGAAAGTCTAAAACAAATTATTTTAGAGTAAAATATCCAACTTTGCACATAATTTTTATATGGAGATATTTCTCTTTAAATCCTACAGAGGGCCTGCTAAATTTTGGTTTTCAACTGAAGCCCTATACTTATTAAATTCACATGTGTCCCAAAATTGCTCAGCGGCTTAATAATACGCCGCGTCGCACTCTGCCCCGTCAGTCGCCGTCGGGCGATTGTTAACGTCATATCTCTATCAAAATCTCTCTGCCTGTCATTTTGTTCATATAAATTTGAAGCGGGCAGATTGTGGGGCGCAAGGGCCGCCCCTCACACTTCACCTAAAATCTAGACTCACATTCAAATACGAGCTTCAAAGGCGAGCCTTAAGGCTGAGAGTGACTAGGCATTTTTTTTTACAACCGCGTGCCACTGTCGACCAACTTTTCGATACGATTTTTCCAACGTCATTGATACTTTCACTATTATGCGGACTCAACTAAAGCCATTTAAGGTTGTACCGACACTTAAGGTCAAGCGTTCACCCATATTAAAAATGTATATTAAATGTATATAATATACAATGTTCAAATTTGTTCAAAAAAGCGACATCCTGTATATCGTACCTCGCGACTGAGTATACCACAGACATCTGTGTAAATAACGTACCTAAGTAGCATTGCGATGGATAATGTAAACAGATAAGAAGATACACAGTAAATATTGCAATGTAAAATATGTTCCGTATTACTTACTAAGTTGGAAAGCAAGTTTCTTAGACAAGAAAATCGTATAGGCCCTGTGTCAGTGGTACAAAGTTAACAACACGTCAAAATTGACACTTAATTCAAAGCAGAGGAAAAGTTCCTAATCTTCGATTTGATTTTAGAGGGGTATATCCACTTTAAAGTTACAAATAAAATATTGTATGAGTAACTACACGATATATTTAAGCATAGACATTAATCAGAAACATAAAACAATAAAGTTTCTTCGATAGATAAAAATCACGAAATGACCTCTAATTTTCACATTTTTTCGATTTATCCTCGAAATGCTACAGGTTATTAGGACAAAAAATAGATAATTAATTATATTTATGCAGGATCGAGAACTGTAACTACGGATTTTTTTTTAATCCCTTTAGTTTTAGAGTTATTCCGCTAAAACGAATTGGTACTTTTAATGCGCAAAATTCAACATCTGTCGCATGTCACGTGAACTTCAGGCATATATTTGTTTTACAAATTTGGGCGGAGTTAACGTTAAAACTTTTTTGGCATGAGAGCTCTTAAAAATAGTTCAAAGTGTCAAGCGTCATTTGATCTGTACTTATTAAAAGAAACACCACTGTGAGAACCTTTGTCAGACAACTACAAATTACACCCAAAACCACGAGAGATATAATTAAGGGCCGTACAAATATCTCTCCCGGTCCGGAAATCGACGACCGGGACCTGTCCAGGATCACCTTAGTACCACCTGTCTATTTGAATGGTGTTGAATTAGATAGAGTTGTATCTGGGTATCGGAGAACCTCACGGATAATGAGGACGTTGAGAGAGAGCGCCGCGGCGTTGGCTGTTAGAAGCAATATATTGGCTCGCAGATTTGCACGGTGTACTGTTAAAGTGGTACTTTTCAAAGCATTCTTCCAAACCTTTTATACGTATAATCTGTGTCAACTGTTCACAGATGATAATTAACGCCCTACGCGAATGCGTACGACGTTAATTGTAGTATTTAGAGTGTTGCTGGGGTTGCCGCGGTACTGCAGCGCATCAGGCATGTTCGCAGAAGCTCAACCGGATAGCATTCATGCTATTCTCAGAAAGAGAGCTGCCTGTTGCTAAGCCGTATCCGTGGCAGCTCAAATGACGTTCTTCGCGTTGTGGCTGGTAGGGTTGACTGCCCGATCATGCTTCATTGCATGAGTCTGCATTCGTCTTCAATTTAAGAACTGTATTTTTTTGTTTTTAATATTGGTAGATCCTGATGGGACTCCATAGGTACATAATTGTGTAACTGTTATAAGATTATGGACTGTATCTGTCTGAAATAAATGAATTTTGATTTGATTTGAAAGAGAGGCAGTTTCATTTCCAATAGTACTTAATACCGATTCTATTTAAATTAGAGATGAAACGGATAGTGATTTGGCCGAGTACCGGATACCGAATATCCGGCTAGCACCTACGCCGGATAGCCGGATATCCGGCCGAGGCAAATCTGACCCACAAACATGTCGCGACCGGTTTAAAGAGCGCATCGCCGTTTGATTGATTAGTGAATGATTGCGCTTTCACATTGACCATTTGATTTGTTGCGGTCAGTTGGTTTTTATAAAAACAATTAATTTAAATGATTATCACTAGTATCAGGTTTCTTACCACGGTATGACTTCTTTTTAAAAGTGAGTGACAATGGTAACGCCACAACAAATTGCGATGAAGGTAGTCATCGACAGCGCAAGAGGGTAGACAGATATGTCTGCTCATAAAGCTGTCATCTGCCGCCGTCCAGTCAACCCGTGACCATGGAGCGTGCAACCGTTCCGAAATATCGGGAAAATAAAAAGAAGTCATACCGAAGAAACCTGATACTAGTGATAATCATTTAGTGTAGTGGTAATCATAACCACGAAAGTCTTAAAATCTATATAACAATTAATTTATTCGATAATACAAACAAATACACAACAGAAAACAGCGAAAAAATCGCCAAATTGACAATTGTCAAGTAAAGAGGTGGGGACACCATTCAGCTGCAGGTTTACGTTAAACAAACTCACCTCGATCTTCAGTAACAGGGTGCCGTCCCTCCAATATGGCGTTTCTTGTTTGCACATAGAGAAGATTCAACTGCACAGGATCTCTAGAATCTATGTTGCGATCGGAATAGAACAGCTTTCGCTTGAGTAGCAACGTCTCATTAGGCTCGATGCCCATTTCGCGGAGGGTCTTGTGTTGGTCTAGCCAAGCCACTGTGAAATAAAAATATGGTCATTTTCAAAATTTTATTACAATATTCTTTTTTTAAATAAAAAGCAAATAAAATTTCAATCTCGTTGCCTTACTTTCTCAAACTCATATGTCAAAGCACAAAGTTACTGCAATGCATAAAATGGATTGTATATAGATATAGATACACGCTTTGCAGGATGATTTCACACGTCATTTTCCTTCATATTTACAAACTGACTTTTATCTATTCTTAAAGTACTTAATGCATTCAAATTAATACCCTTGACAAGAAATTTAAAATAAATAGAAAATTTTGTCATTTTTAGTTTGAGATTAAGCTCCGCTGCATACGCAGTCCGTAGAATACGTGAGCTTACCGATGTTACTACTGCTAGACTAGTTTACTTTACTTACTTCCATAGTATAATGTCCTACGGGATTCTCATGTGGGGTAAAGCGGCAGATATTCAAACCACATTTAAAAAAAAAAAAAAAAAAAAAAAAAAAAAAAAAAAAAAAAAAAAAAAGCTTCACAGTACATTTACTCAAATATTTTATATGCCCGTAAAAATATACATAATGTCAATAAGAAAGAAGATATCCATAATATTAATCTTAGAGATAAGTCCAAACTCATGGTACCACGATTTCGTTTAACAAAGGTAAACAACTCTTTTATGGGGAACTGTATACGTTTTTACAATAAGATTCCGGAGCATATATTAAGTTTATCATTTCCTAAGTTTAAAAACTACATTAAAAATATTTTGATCGAAAAATCATATTACAAAATTGAAGACTACGTGTTAGATAAAGATGTATGGAAAGACGACATGGCTCCAGAATCCACACAAATTTGATTCAAAGTGTATTCCACAGCATTTAAGTTTATTTGAAAAGAGCAATCCCTAGAGTTTCTTGCGCGTTCTTCTCAGGGAGGTCAGCGTAGTTGACGAGCAGTAGCTTAAATGTAACGTTTTCAAGTATAAATTTATTTTACCTATGGAATAAATAATCTTTGATTTTGACTTTGACTTTGAGAAAGTAATGCATCGATATGTTTCAATATTAAAAAAATAAATAAATTGCAATTTAAAATGCTATATATCCTCGGAGTTTCTTTGAAGGACAAGGTACGGAACGAGGTTATCTGACAGAGAACTAAGGTCGTGGACACAGCTGGTAGAATAAGCAAGCTGAAGTGGCAGTGGACTGGCCATATCTGTCGAAGAGCCGATAACCGATGGGGGAAGAGAGTTCTTGATTGGAGACCACGGCTTGGCAAATGTAGTGTATGGCCAGATGGAGTGACGATTTACGAAGGGCTGCAGGCAGCAGATGGATGCAACGAGCTGAGAACCGGGCATGGCGCGCATTAGGAGAGGCCTATGTCCAGCAGTGGACTACGACAGGCTGTTGATGATGAAAGTTACAAATTTAGCGAACGATATATGAGTAAAAAATTATGTGTGTTCAAGAGCGAAACGTCGGTTTGTTTGAAAGAATCGAAAAAATAGGTTTCATATTCCTATTAAATCCTTTTTTTTAACTATTTCGGATTGCGCTATTCTTTAAAACCAGGGATGTGATATATAATAATTTTTTTTGTAGGGGTTGACTTCTTAGGGTCCAACTGTGCGACGGGCCGAGGGTTCCCGAAACTGCAAAAATCTCGTCATACATTCTAGCCCCGATCGAAACGTTCCAAAAACATCACTTCCACTCATTTCCGCGGCAATATTTAAGTCGGGCCAGATGTTTACGTGATATACTGTGATATACTTATAAAGAAACTTACCGCTCAAGTTCACAGTGACTTCTATCCAGTAAGCAATAAACAGACATGGTATTTTAATTTTTACTTTTGTAAAGTAGATGAGGTCCCTCTACCATGTAATGACGTTACTCGATCCAGTCAAACTTCAAGAGGAGTCAATAGCAATTTCACCCTGTATGACCTCAACACAGTTTTACCCTATATGCGGAAGGTCCGAGTTTGTTCCCAAGTAGGAACTAGACTCCTGTAGGGCTAGCACGACAAAGCGCCAGATACGGCTCTTCTCGCATAGAAATCACGCGCTCTCGCGCAAATCGTGCCCTATTGTGCTAGGCCTACTGGAAACCGTTCCGCGAGACGATTGGTTTTCTTTCACCCTATATGAGCGTACGTCAATATCAGAAGATCCGGGCTGCAGTTCCCAAGAAGGTACCCAACTACTGCTTTGCTTTCAGCTTTCAGTATTCTCCAATATATCCAATTTCTCAACAAACAGACAAAATTGTGATTTTTCCCTCGAATGATGATTACTTACCATTCGAGGGAAAATCTTAACACCGCGATTCGAATTCACGCCAAATGGGTCAAACCCATCTAGTGGATTTTTAGCGAACTAAAAGTAAACATTCTGGCTTAAGGCCGTCTAATACATAAAGTAGGTTTGTTACACTTTTAAATTTTTGCTTTGTATGGTATGGTTGTGTCATTCTTTCGTGCAAATTATCTAAAATCCTAGGGAAATGTCTTATTGTGCTGTTTTGGAGTGTAAAAATGGTAGCCGCGCCAAAAATATTTCACGTCAGCGGAAAGTCTCATTTGAACAAATTTTCATATTTCTGTTCATCGAAATATTTTTTTTGTTACAAGAAACGAAAATAAAGCTTATACCCCTGCAATATGGTCACTTCTTTTTTGGAGAACTAAATTAATAACTCCAACTCGTCGTCGTTCAGCAATTAACCGCTAGATGGCGATACATTGATTGAAATTTCAAAATCATATAAAAACCTCGTAACTTGCAATATTAGGTATTGATGGTATTGAACGTTCAATGATATGTCAACAGGGTAAAGTTTAAATTATAGTAACCATCCAGAATTTGTTATTTCTTTTTAAATTTGAAATTACGACCAATCAATATCAAGATTTTGTAGTATTTCAAATTAAGAATGTGTGAGTTAGTAATCGAGGCTTAAAACACTTTTATTGTTTTTTTTTCTTCCGTGTTATATAAGTTTTATCTTGTGCAGGGCAATGAGTATGTGCGTTATTATTCCACAAACTTTTGAGATCTTTTTTTTAAATAAAAAGTTATAATTATTACCATTGTCATCAGTCTTCAATTTCTTGCTGAGTTGCTCCATCCTGTGGTCCTTCTCCCGCTGCGGGGCCTTCCTCTTGCCCGTCAGGGTGCCAGTAGTGGGCCTGTCCTTACCCTGATCCTCCGTTTCCGGCGTTTCTTCATGGCACTGAACGTTAAAAATAATATTGCAATTACTGGATCTTTTGCAGTAAAATTGCTTAATTTCACATGCATAACACAAAGAAAAATTCTTAATCCATTTCTAAGTCAATATTAACTATAGACAAATAGAAGATAATATCAATTTCATACAAAATACTCGTGACAGCTCATTATATTAGGGAAAATCTTAACATCGCGATTCAGAAATCATGTTGTCTATGCCAATGCCGTCTAGCGGTAAACTTCGGAACTATAGTTACAAATTATGTTTAAGTTATTGTATTACAATCCTCCCTGGCATCGAAGAAGTCCCAACAAGAGGGCGAGAAATAAAATCATCTAGAATGAAATATATTACAAACATCCCCTAAATGCCGTCAGCTCATATAGTGGCGCTAAAAAGGCACTTGAGTGAATAATGCATAATAATATGGCCTTAGTACCTAAATACTGCTTTATTTAATAATGAATGAATGAATGAATGAATGAATGAATGAATGAATGAATGAATGAAGTTTATTTATTTCTCAATCACAAAACAGGCTTAAGAGTAAGGAACTTAAAATACAAGACCAAAAATTGGTCAGACTGTTTTGTGAGAGACTGGTGCCCGAGATAGGTATAGAAAAACCTGAATTACGGGTAAATAATAATAATATAAATAATGAAATCATTTAATAAATTACCTTGAGAATTTAAGATCATTACTGACATAAAAATATTTAAAAAAAGATCTTAAGTTTTTGCGATTGTTACACACAGGAAAAGAAACTTTTTTCGAATATAAATCGTGTATATTTCTTTTTTCAAACAAACCAACGTTTCGGGCCCTTTACAGATCCCATCGTCAACTATTTAAAAAGAGATTTATCGTCGATTCATCGTCAACTATTTTAGAGATTTATTATCACAAAAATGATGTTACTCTGTAGAAGATTTTTTTATTTATAAATTGGTTGTTTCAAATTGTTCATTTTGACTCATAATAATTTTATATGTTTCTGTCCTGACATTGTATTATTGTTAATTCACTGTTCAGTAGCTGTAGAGCTCCATGTGAAAGAGTTCGTCCAGGATACTACTGCCACCTTGCCTATTTCTGCCACTATATGAGCTAAACACTAAGCAGTAATGTAAGCATTGCTGCGTTGCGGTTTTGAAAAGTGCTGGCGAAAGTACGGAAACATGCGATTTGTCTACTTATGTCTCAAGGTTATTGGCTCAGTGGCAGCGCCCCTCAGATCTTTTGATCTTAAAGCTCTGGATGGCACTGTAACAGTTACGGATAGGCGTGTCCCTTCACTTGGTATTATAACAAAAAAGCAATGCAGTCGCGACAGATACAGCAGTGTCGTCGGTATTGATTTTGCCAGCGGTAGTTACGCACTATAATCTGCTTTCATGGTATCTCTTGCGCTCTCTGGCATAAAACCAGCGAATGAACAAACATAAGCGTACTTACCAAACCATACTCATCGTGGTTGGTGATCCCGATCTTGCTGCAGATATGTAGCATCAGATCACCGATGTTCTTCGACTCATCCACTAGCAGAGTCTTCACGGAACCTTTCATGAACACATAAACATAAATAAAAGCGTGAAATTACAGGCATCCGTGGTAGTGACCCGTTTCGCTCCTTCAGGTATCCTCGATTTAGCCGCTCACGCGATGCGCTCCTCCTACCGCAAAATGGCGGCTATTTGGTTTCGCAAATTAGAAAAGCATTCAGTTTAAATACAAGTTTTTATAAATAAAAATTATTATTCTGCATTGCTAAATAAATACCCTCCGTACTACCAACAAAAACATCTCAAATATAATGCAGTAATACACCGCAAATCCTGCACTTAAAAAGCACTAATGAAATTTTTGGTGTACTTGGATAAATATGATAATATTCCGTTTGAGTGGTTCTAACGTTTACCATGAAATTACTCCTTAAAGTATAGTTTATAAACATTTATATTCAGGGTAAACTTAAAAAACGCTACTTACGGTATGTTTTCAATAAATAAACACCGAAATCACCAGCCCAAACAATAACACACACGATTGTGGTGACGTATTTTTTAAGTTGTTTATTTTTTTAAATGACAGACCCAGGCATTATAAACTTTATGATTTGCTAGAGTAGTTACCGAAATAGCAATTAATATTAGTTAATTTACCTGTTATAACTTCGATATCCGATAAATCGGTATAAAATCATCACCGGCACCTCTAGGTGTGTTATGCGTCTACGGCTGCATGTATCGCGTGAGCGGCTAAGATATTCAAATGTATATTTACAAAGAGCAACGCCTAGTGTTTCTTGCTAATTCTTCTCAGGGGAATCTGCCTTACGAATGAGCAGTGGAGTTTAATCAGTATGACGATTTCAAGTGTACCATTTCTTTCCTATAAGCCCGGCGTACCCTCGGCAACAATCGGTGATTACACCGACTGGCATCTTTTCACCACCGATATGATTAGAGGAAGGCTTACCGTCAAGCATTCGGACACGCAGGTTGCGAGCGCGGTTGAGGTAGAAAAGGCAGTCACCATCGCGCAGCATATAGTACTCCAAATTGCGGTGGCTCTCTAGCCACACTCCTGAGCGGTCGTCGTCAGCTGACGTCAGGAAGAGACCATAATCTGGAATCATTTAAAAACCTGCTGTTAATAAATGTGTATTAGATTTCTCACAGATAGCGCTACGGTAAAAAGTCGTTAAAAATCAAAAAACAAAGATCTGCATTGTTGCAGATCTTTGTTTGTTGTTAAACTTCTATTTCATATAAAAGAGGAATTACACTTTTATAGTAAATGAACTACTTTCAGGGTATTGATCAGCGCCACCTTGATATAATACGGAATTTCGGAATTTGACTAAAATCCATTAAAATCATCAGTTACCTTTCGCATCGTCAGCACCAACCAGCTTCTCCTTGACAATGTCAAGGGCCTTATCAACCCTCATGCTGGTATCGAATAACAGCGTCCTCGTCACCGCACCCTCGTCCTGAATGATCTTCAGCGAGAGCGGCGCCATCTTTTAGCTGGAGACAAAAGTTGGCATTGTTATGTACAAGAATACTATTGCTCCAATATTACTGGGCACATATTAGATTTTTATTTTTATATTTTAAAAATATTGACTTCCATCTCACCTAATGGAAAATGACGATGAGGTCGACAGTGGAGCATGCAGATCTAAATAATACTTACTTACTTTCGCCTTTAAAACGCTCGAGGTATAACGTTCAGGGAACTAATACGCAAGCAGGGAATTCCATTCCAGATCCGTTCACACACAACATATGGGAGGAACCTCTGCCTACATCTAGTCCCTCAATGATGAAAAGAGGAATAAGGAATCAAATCACGATTTCGACACTGGAAAGGTAAAATGTCTAACGTGTATTTGGAAAATAATACAGATGAGCGATTTAACTACCTCAAATGGCTTTGGCTGGTCCGCATAACAGTGAAAGTGTTGAAGCAATCACTTTGGAAAACTATATAGTAACCTTGAGGACATACCCTGATTACTATACGGTGTGGAAACACGAAATTTTCACGGTAGAAAAAAAAAAACTAGCTTCGAAATTTTACAAGAAAACCGCAGTATTCAATAGGTACTTTACATACACCAATATTTTCTTTTTCATATCAACTGAAGTAAATAGAAACACATATAGTATACGATAGTATAGATTATATAGATTAGTATAGATAGTATACATTTGTATCTTTTGGCAATACAGTTTTATTATTATTATTATGCATTTTTCAAATGTTTGCTTTCGTTTGTAAAAAATAAATTCTGCGATAAAGCCACCTAAGCAAAATAAACCGTATTATTACAGGAAATTTTTGAATTCGAGCTGAGGTAGTTATAGTTATAGTTATAGAGTCGTAAGTAAAAAAATCACTAGAAACTAGAAAATTTCTGCTTTTCCATATAACAAATAAAATTAGAGCTATGATTCTTTTTCTTAAAAAAAATACTTTAAATCTCTCCTCTCCTATAATATTTTCCAAATGCACCTTAGACGTTTTACCTTTCCGGCATCGAAATAAATCATTTGATGATATCGAGTAACGGGACGGACAGATAGTGGGCCTGGTGATAAGTGACACGCCTGTCCATAATAATTGCAGTGTCACTCAAAGATCTCAAAGATCTGAGACATAAAGTTGCCAAATCTCATGTGGCTGTAGTTTCCACCAACACCCTTACCCTTCAAAACCAGAACGCAACAATGCGCACATTACTGCTTGGCGGCAGAAATAGGTAAGGAGCTACTAAAACTATTATATGACAATCTATTATTATACCTTAATTTTATTATACTTAAAACTCTACAGTCTACAAATTATATATTAAGCTTTGATTGTTCCATATTGAAAAGTTAAAAAAAGATTTAGTCCAAAAATGTAGTTACGAGAGCCGACAATACGTGACTTAAACTTAGAAATTCGAACCGTTGAATTCTGGTCTAAATAAAATACGCTTATTACTTACCTCTTTCAAACTCCACAATGTTAATGTACAATGCAATCCTTCAGATAGCACTGTATCCTGTCCTAAAGGGGTAATGATTTCACAATGCGGTCAAACCGAGTAGCACAACATCTATTTTTCCTCCTTGAATAGGAAAATAAATATAAAAAATAGTCTCCAATGTCAACATTTTTCGATATGTTATTTGAGTTAATTATTAATTGTATGGGCTATTCAAGAATAATACAAAATATTATATAGTAACATACAAAAGAAATACCTGCGGATTATAAACAATATACGTCCAAGACACAATGCAGTATTTTATTACCGAGAAATTTTTAGCTCTTCCCTCTATTTACTTTTTAGAAACTGCCATGTTTGTTAGACAACATTTAGATCTTTTTGAATCTACTAGTGCTACCGACCATTTTATTCATTAGCAGTACAATTCCTTGTCAAAGAGTTCGTCCAGGGTAGCACTGTCACCTAACCTATTTCTGCCGCCAAGCAGTAATTTCAGCATTGCTGTGTTCCGGTTTTGAAGGGTACGGGTGCTGGTGAAATTAAGGCACGTGGGACTTGTCAACTTATGTCTCAGGGTAACAGGCGCAGTGGCAGAGCCCCTGAGATCTTTGCGATTTAAAGCTCTGACTGGCACTGGTTATGGACAAGCGTGAAGCTTACCATCAGGCGCAAGACTTGTTCATCCCGTCACTTGATATTATAAGAACGAAAAGAAAATATTAATTTATAATAAAATAGGTACCAGACTCGCTACAAAGAGAAGAAAATGACAACATATTCAAACTAACTGGGTGATAAATCTGTCATAGATTTCTCATAGATGGCGTTACGACTAAAAAGTCGTTGAAAGACCAAGTACGACGCAAGCACATAGAAAAATTCGTGAGGTCCGTTGGTTCGTTCCGTGGCTTAGTTGGTATAGCGTCTAGCACGGTATGCAAGAAGACGTCGGTTCAAATCCGACCGGATCGAAGGAATTTTTTCTGAGTGTTCGATCTTTGTATTAATAATTATAACAAACTAGTGGAGTAATTTCACAAAAAATAATTGAATATCAATTCAATAAAAATTTAATTAACATATTCAAAGCCAAATCAAAGTCTCTATGGTAAACGGGTGCTGCTACAGTGTGAGAGACTTCAAGGACTCTTCTAGAAGAAGACTTGAAAGAGCTGGTAAATTCAACTTTTCCATCATGTAACAATTTTTCTTTCCTTCTTTCTAACCTTCTGTGAATTTGTGTCTATTTTAAGTACTCTAAATATTATGACGAACGGCTATGGAGTGGAATTCCCTGCCTCCAGACTTGGTGCTTGAACGTTATAACTTGGTGTGCATGCTCCATCGTCGACCTCATCGTCACTTTCCATTAAGTGAGATGGAGGTCAATTACTATATATATACACTTTATAATAAAATGAAAAAAATCTCTAAAGTCAGTTTCTTTTTATTAGTTATTCAAAGAGAACTAACCATTCGTTACACCCCAACGGGATATGTTAGTATGTGTACTTATCATGTACTTATTACATATTTGTATAAATAAAAAATAATAAATGTTTATATTTTTTTTTATAAAATCAAGGGACAGGACGAACAATTGTAGCGCCAGATGGTAACCTACACGCCTGTCCATAATCAATGCCACTCATGTCCACTTGCACTAAACCTAGGTACGTCTTAAACCAATAATTGCAATGCAAAAGACACTCTTAACACATTGTTTTAAGAGTGTCTTATCAATTTAAGCATTGGTTTAAGACATACTTAAGTTTAGTGCAAGTGGACACCAGAGTTTTAAATCGATCAAAGATCTGAGAGGTACTACCACTGCGCCTTTCACCATGAGACATAAAGTTATAGTGAGATATAATTTCACCACCACCTTTACCCTTCAAAACCGGAACGCAGTAATACTGAGATTGCTGCGTGGCGGCAGAAATAGATAAAGTGGCAGTACTTCCCTGGACGAGCTCGTTCACGCGGAGGTCTACTGCTAGCAAAATTTTGTGAGTTAGGTATATCATAACAATGCTGCGAAAGAACTTAATACAATAGGTAGAATGTTCTCTTCAAATAGATAAAGCGATTACAGGAATGATTGAAATTGCCAATTATACAGCCACGAACGAATAGAATACTTTTAGTGTTCGATATTTGTAAAAATAATTGAATATCATGATAGTAAACAA